CCCGTTTTTGTGTTGGGGGGGGGGGGGAACGGACAGACAACAGGACAGGGACACCCTGTTACCCCCACAAAAACCACTTACACCCCTAAATCTGAGCTTTAAAGAAGGGGTGGAAATTTGGGGTTCCCCGTACCTCCTCTTCGGAGGTGACGGGGACACAACGCAGGTTGGGGACGTGCAGTTCCTCGCTGGTCGAGCTGACTCGCCGGATTTCCAACTCAGCTCCGCGTTCTGGCCGGCCGGCCAACAGATCTCGTAAGGATTCATTGTAGATCTCCAAGAAGCTGGCGGTGAAACCATACTGCCCGCCCGGTTTTCAAAAAGCTCAGAAATTTCCCCCCCAAATAGAATTAATGCTGGTTTTTGGTTTGTTTCACTTACTTCCCAACCTTTTTCTGTCAGTTCTCGGGCTCCCCGGAAAACCTGCTGCACTGCCCGTGGGATCATGCCCCTGGTTTCGGGATCCAGCGTGTCCGGTCCTTCCATGGTGTAAGTCTTCCCGCTGCCCGTCTGTCCGTAGGCAAAGATGCAGACATGATATCCATCCAGCGCCGACTGCAAGGGAGGAACAGAGGTGAGGAGGGGGCGATTTTGGGGATTCAGGGGGCTGATTTTGGGGTGGGGGGGGTCTCTCCCCCTCACCTGCACCAGCAACGCGATCTCCTCAAAGATCTCCTGCTGCGAGGCACTCGGGGGGAAGACACGGTCAAAGCTGAAGTCGTAACGGATGTCACCCCGGCGTTCGCGCCCCACGTGAGACTTTGGGGAAAGGGGGTGTAAAAGGAGGTTTTTTGGAGGGGGGGAGGTCCCCAACTCTGTCCTCACTCCCTCCATGTGAGCAGGAGCAGCTAACCACCCCCCCTTTTATCCTTAAAAATCTCATTTTTATAGGCATCAGTGCTGATTCAGCTCATCAGAGAGGGACTAACAACAGCTGAGGGGTCTGTCAGCAGCAGAGATACCCTCAACCCCCCCCCAAATTGGGGTAAACAAGGGGGGTGCACCCCCAAACCGACTCACCTCCTCTGGCCTGGAAAGCACCAGCATCTTGTTGTCCTGGGGGGGGAAATGGAGATGCTCCAGGCCCTTTTGTCGCTCCTCTTCCTCGGGCAGCACCGGCCGGACACGGCAGAAGACGCGGATATTGCCCTGAGCAAGGAGAAAAGCTGTGATTTTGGGGGTACAAGGGGGGGGGGTTTGGATGCTTGCCCCCCCCAAAAACCCCTCATGGGCTTCACCTTGAGCTCCTGGACAAGATTATGGAGACGACGTCGCTCCATTTCCAGCCCGTGGAGTCGTTCCTCCTGTTGTCCCAACTGCTGCTCCTGGGCAGCTGCCTGCACCTGCAGCTCTGCTGCCCGTGCTGCGTGTTGCTGCAGCGTCTCCTCTGCCAGCTTCAGCTGTGCCTGGGGGGGAGGAGAACGGGGAGTTTAGGGCGGTGTGGGGGGGGGAAACAACAGCCCCGGTTGTGGCGTGGGGCAAAAACTGACCCCATTTGGGGGGGGGAAAGTGAGCCTTGGTTGTGGCAGGGTGTGAAAACTGACTCCAGTGGGGTGTAAAATTGGTGCTGATGGAGAAAACCAGCCCTGGACTGGGGGGGAGGGCAAAAATCAGCCCCATTGGGGTGTAAAATTGGCCCCATGGGGTAAAAAACCAGCCCTGGTCATGGTAGCGGGGGCAAAAATCAGCCCCAGCAGGGTGGAAAATTGGCCCTGCTTGGGGGGGGGGGGTGGAGAAAGCCAGCCCTGCTCCTGGAGGCGGGGGGGGACACAGATGACAGAAAACAGCCCCTTTGGGGCAGAAAAGCAGCCTCTGTTGTGGTGGGGGGCAAAAACTGTCCCTGTTGGGGGAGAAAACCAGCCCTGGTTGTAGTGGAGGGGCAGTGGGGGCAAAAACTATCCCTGGGGGGTGGAAACTGGCCCCCATCATGGTGGGGGGGGACAGAAACTGGCCCCCATCATGGTGGGGGGGGACAGAAACCAGCCCCAATTTTGGGACCCTGAGATGCCTCCACTTCCCTACATAGGACTTTGGGTGCAAAACCACTTTTTTTTAAAAAAAAAATTTTTTTTTTTTGAAGGAAAATGGGGAGCAACCGCCCCCGCCACCAGCTCCATCCCCGTGACTCACCTCCCTCTCTTCCAACCGAGCAGCCAGATCCTGCGCCTTCCCTTCAGCCTCAGCCAGCGCCCGTCCGCCCCGTTCGACCTCTTCCTCCAGCCGCTGTTTCTCTGCCGCCAAATCCTCTGCTTCCCGCCGCCGCTGGGCCAATTCCTCCCGGCAAGCCAGCAGCTCTGCACTGAGAGTCCTGGGTAAGAGGGAAAACATGTTGAGAGAAGCGTACCCCAATTTTTTAAGGGGATTCAAGGGGCAGGAGCTTACCCCAGGCGATGGTTGAGGTCTTTTTCCTGGAATTCCCGCTCCTGTAAATCCCGTTGGAGCGTTCCCACTTGTTCCCGTAGCAGCCGGTTTTCCCCGTCCAGTCCTCGCGCCTTCTCCCGGCAGCTGCCCAACGCCTCCCGCAAGTCGTTCACTTGGCCCTTCAGGTCCCAAGCGGCTCGTTTGGGGCGAGGGGGGGCTGCTGCCGGTGGGGGGGCACCTGGAGGGACATCGAGGGGGG